CCCCAAAACCCCAAAACCCCAAAACCCCAAAATCTAACATAAAAGTGCGTAAGAAAGTAGAAAATAATTGAATATAATTTTGACAAGTTTATTTAGAATCAAAGATGAGTGTATTAAAAATAAACATTAGAATTTTTTTAATAATTTATCAAATTAGTAACTGTGAAATTAATAAGTTTATGTATTTTAATATATGAAATCATTATCTTTGTTTTATTCCTGCCTTCATAAATTTCTTAAATATATCTTGTATCGTATATGTCTTTTAGGTTCATTTCCATTATCGTTGTGATTCAAGTTAGTTATCCATGATAGTAGTCTTTAGACTAGAATCATAGATTTTAGAATCTTAATAGAGGGGTAAAGAACTAAATGATGTAATTGACTTATACAAGTCATCACTTTAATCAATTGATAAAGAATCTCTTGAAAAGGGATCCCATTAATTAACCAAATATTAAGAAGGACTACAATCTTGTTCTTCTGTAGATCTGCATTAGATAGGTGAATTCAAATTGGAAGATTAAGCATTTTTTTAAGATATTTTTACCACATTTTGATAATCACCAATTGGAAAAACAGATTGATTATATAAGACAGAAACTTTGGGACAACTTAGATTATTATCTTTTGAACCAAAGTTCTAAATATTCGTTTTACCTTATTACAAGTCTGATTTTATTGATTCATTTTAAAATTCTTTGAAATTGGCTCCTGCTTATAGACTTTAATCGAAATCGTTTCGTTCAAAGGTTGTTTTTACTATCAATGTATTATCAATATTAGATTAATATGGATGCTATTTTTAGAGATGCTTCGCAAGTTAGTAATGTCTGTAGTATTATCGTTTGCAAAGTAAGCAATTGTATGGCCTGTAATTCAGTTAGATTAATAGAAATGTGGCAAAAGAAAAATCGAAAGAAAAATCTTAACCAGGATTTACTGGAATAGATTAATATTGTAAAACTCATTAAAACTTACTTTTATTTGAAGTGTCTCCTTTGATGATCATTACAATTACCAGTAGAAGTAAATTTCTTTTCGCAATACTAGCAGTTAAAAGGTTTTTCTCCAGTATGAATTCTATAATGTACAATTAAGTTTCCTTTCTCTGCAAAAATCTTTGAGCAACCATTATAAGGGCATTAATGCTCTTTCAGATAGAAATGATTTGTCTAGATATGAGATTTCAAACGGCAAGCTCAAGTAAAAGATTTTATGCAGTTTTCAATTTAACAATTAAATTTCCTTTATGATTAAATCTATTTCTAGATCTTGTTTTACTGATATAAGGAGCTTAAATCTTTGCTATCACTCGTACAGGTTTGTTTCTAGATGGATTTGAAATTCTTAGAAACAAGTTTCCTATTTAAAAATATCGAGATTTGCTTTTGAAAAAACTACAAAGATTCTCAAGGACTTCAATTATTAGTTTAATATTAGCCCTCATCAAAATTATGAGATTTATCAATTTTTAAGAAATAGTTTATTCTAGCTTCAGATAAAATATTTAAAGAGAATTAAGCTTTATTACTTATGAAATGAGAGTCATAAGGCAAACATAGATGATAGGAGATTTAAGATTTTTCCATATAATGTAATTGAAATATATAAGCATATAGACCAATAAAGTTTCTTCGATTCTTAGATATTGACAAAATTTCTAAAATAAATAAACAAAAAAGACCAATGCCATTGATTAAACTGATTTCTATGATTATAGTTGCTTATTTCAAATTATATTGAAAACTCATGATTTATTGTCAACCATTAATTCTTCAAATCAAAAATATATGTATAGTAGAAAAGAATTTTTATTCTTAAACTATTTATTGATTCAGTAAATAGAGAATGAAGAGTATTAATCAGATAATTTGAATCATTCTTGAATTTGAGAGATATAGTTTAAGTTTAGATAAGATTAAATTTTATCGACAATATTTCCTTAATGACTAATGAAATTTTATGATTTAAACTACGAATTTTCCTTTCTATTACTTATTTCAAACTAAGGATCATATTCAACCTCTTAAAGAAAATAATTGATTTATTGATGAAAATAGAGAATTTATCTCTTTATTAAAAAAAGATGAGTCTGATACTACATAATTAGACTCATGTTTTATATTAATTACTAAGGCATATTTAATTTACTTGATTAATTTTGTGATTATGTATTATACTTTTATCTCTATCAATATAATCTCATGGGGTTTTGGGGTTTTGGGGTTTTGGGG